AAATTGTTAAAGCTATGTAAAAAATCATAATCACATAACATCACATAATCCAAGATTTCCTGTTGAAATTTGGATTCACATAAATATCATGCTATCAGCTTTGTGTAGAACTCTAAATGTAAATCTGTACTACTGGTATATTGTTTTCACAGGTCATCGGTGAAGAAACTGTCTCAGATATCATTCTTCGTTCTTTGGACCTGGTTACGATTGCTGTACCACCTGCACTTCCAGCTGCCCTGACTGTGGGAATTGTGTTTGCCCAGAGTCGGCTGAAGAAACAACTTATCTATTGCATCAGTCCCAGAAGTATAAATGTCTGTGGTACTATCAATGCTGTGTGCTTCGACAAGGTTAGATATCCAATTTAATATCATCTGTTTTTATATATAATTCATGCATTAGCTAGCCTTTTTTACCATGATAATTGAACTTCACATTGTCCCAATTTTTATATTTATGCAATGTTTGTTTTTGTTTTTCAATTTTGGTTTATATTTTATTTTTTTAGTTTAATTCATTCTTTAGAGTGAGAAAGAAATATTGTATTTTACAATGTCCTTCCTGTTTTGCACTCAAATTTTCAATCCACAAAAGAAATTGTTCAATTAATAGAAACTTGAAACTTCAGTTCTTTCTCAACAAAAAAATTTCAGCCTCAGATTTATATTTTATAGTTTTGTAGCTTAAAAAAGCATGATCATGTTTTTACAAATTTATAAAGGAAGTGTAAATTGCCAGCAAGCTAGTTAGCTATGTATATTAAGTTAGCTAGCTAGAAAGACTGAATGAGCTGTCACTAGATGATTACTATGTAGATTGAATAACTGATTGGTCCTTAGGGCTTATCAGTGTATGCACGGCTTAGATAGATCAAAGAGTGCCCAAAAACACAGCACTGTACATGTAGCTGATCCAAGCTGATCTGTTTAGGATTTTAACTCACAGTGCAATAAGGGCTGTACATATTTTGAGGTTTCCTAGGAAACCTTGGACAAATGTTCCTTGAAAACACCTCGGAGTATTGGTTACTGACTGTCTGAGGTTATAGTGTAACAGACAAAAACTTAAATGATAAAGTCCAAGGATTTTATACTCAGATGTCCAAGATTTCCTAAAATATACCATCTGAGGTGTCCTAGGATATACCGTCTGAATATAATAAGTTCTCATGTCCAAGGTTTTTCGAAGGTATTTCCTAGGTGTCTTTTTAATGTATGAAATGATGTCCAAGGTTTGTTTATAAAACCTTTGACAAATATATCAGTAAAACCTTGGACGTCCAAGGTTTTTTTGGTCAAATTTTCAAGTAAACCTCAGAAAATGTACAGCTGGATACCTGGTATGTTTTTGATGACTGAACCACCAAGGTTCCCACTTAAATATATTTTTTGTTTTTAAATTATTGAATAGTGATAAAATCTATTCCAGACAGGTACCTTAACAGAGGATGGACTTGACATGAAGGCAGTTGTTCCCACCTCCAATTCTAAGTAAGTTTGAGACTACAGGATTGCTTATAGGAAACAATACTGTACTGTACAACTAACTGTACAAAATTAAATAATGCTTGATAGTAGTGATCTTTGATTGCTTTATGTTAATAAACTCAGCTTTCAGCTCTGTGACAGAACTGGAAATACATGTACATATGACTGTTAACTTATTGTTCTATTATCACATTTACATTAAAGCTGTGTAGATTACTGCATTGCAGTGGAAAGTATATTACTATATCCATTAATGTTCAATATTCAATGATTGTTGCATTATGTGCTTTCTCATTTTATATCTTTATTCAAGGTTGAATTAAAATTAAATATTTAGATTTCAGAGTGTTATTATTCTCATCTGAGGCACCTTTAGAGACATCTTTGTTGTAACTACAGTTTGTCTGTAACATTGACATTTATCTTGAAATAGAATTAAAAGAAACCTTATAAAAATGGCAAATACTTTTTTCACAGAAAATCAGCTTAATTCTTAATTTTTTAAAAAATAAATTATATTGTTTAATATTTCCCTGTGATTTACAGTGATCGCTTTTTTCAGTTTGATATTTTCAGTGTAATCAGTGATGGTTAAAACTTTAAAATACTAGACTTTGTTCAGATAAATTTATAATTTATTTACTTTTTCCATGAAATAAACATGGTTGTTTGCTCATGTTCTCATCTGAAATGAAAAATGTTTAATTGACATAGCATGTTGCTTTTAAAGGTAATAAAAACTGGCTAAAGTTTTGTTGTGCCATTGTACATGTAAGAAGCTTGTATACTGCAAGGAGAAGATAACTATCAGTTCCTATTGCAGAAGCATGTGATAACAGAACCACTGAGAGTTCAGTGTAGGAGAATCTTGAGTTAGACAGTGGAGAAGAATGAAAGATATTGATGTATAGCAATTTTCAGACTGATGAAGAAGAATTTGATTATGAATTTGATGCAACAGACTAAATTCCATCAACATTAGTCAAACCTTAAAATGGCTGTATCTTAGGGTCTACCCAAAAGTTGGAAAGATGTACTTTTAATATTGCCACTTCCTTTTTTTCTCAGTGTTGTGTTTTTGAAAATTGATTGGTCATAATCAGATGCTGCTTTCTTACAGGAAAGATCAGAGAAACGGTCAAGCACTGGATTGTTGTAAAAACATTCAAACATTGTGCAACAAATGATGAACTGTCCAAAATGGCTGATTATCATTGCACTATAAAAATAGAGCACAATTATCAAAATTTTAAAATGTGTTTATCTCATGCATGTTATATGGCAGAAACAAGTCTTTCCCCTCATTCTGGGTCTAAAATTGGGGTGAGTTATATATAAACAAGTGCATGCTATAAACACTAAATTATTGTGCATTATTTTTATAGGCTGCAAATATCATGAGCAAATTGGAAATCATATTGTTGATTTTGATCAACTGTTTAATCAATTGTTGCTGCTGCTCAGGTAAACTACATAATTAGTGTCTTGGTGTAGACATACATATAGACAGTGGTGATAAAGTGCTTTTGATACATACCATGCAACAGTAATTCATGGAGGCAGACTGGAACTGGTTTCATAAGTACAGATTTGTAAATTTGATGTGGAAATTCACTGCAAGCATTCATAGTGTTATGCTTGAAAAATACTGTTGATCCTGAGATCCAAATGTGCTTTTTCTTCATTTCAATATCTCATGAGGACAAGATATAAATGAGATCATTTTGTAAGGAACTTGCATATTAAATATAGTCTTTTGTCAGGACATAAATAGTCTGACATAATATATGGCATGTATGCAAACCTCTGTCAAGCACTTGTTCCATCTCCTTAAACAGTTTTGTGGCTAATAGTGAATGCAGTAATAGGTTTCCTCTGTGTGTTAAATGTATTCAGTATTGATGTACATTATTTAAATATTTATAGGTTACTGCATTTGTATGGGAAAATATGAATGAGTTTTTCTGATGGAATTACTGCATGACTTTGGGAGTACAGTACATCTGACAAAACGTTTTTTATATTTTCTCATACAAATGCAGCAACCTTTTTATTATATGCTCATTTTCTTATTCTACCTAAGGCTAATAATTATATAAATAAAAATATACTGCAAGAGACAAAGTAACTGACTATGCCATATTACAAACTAAATACACAAGCACAGATCCATCATTACACAACAACATTATTAATGTGCACATAACTCTGCCCAGAAAAATTTGAACTTAATCATGCACTAGACATAACTTTCAAAAGAAAATGGCATTTTAGTCTACTTAAAATTTAAATTTGGAGTCATATTGTGAATGAATGAGCATTGCAACAACTTTTCCTTTTGATCTGGAATGAATAGATTTTGTTATTATTGTTGATCTACAAAATTTCATGATTGTGGACTGGATTTATCTGTGCCAATTCTACATGAAATGCATCAGATTAAAGCAATGAGGGAGAAGTGTGTTGACATCTGCAAGTGTGTTTCTGTTCCCTCTTTGAATGTTTGAAATCATAATGTGAAAAAATATGAAGTCTTTCAATTGCAGTTCTCAAAAGATGCTATGGAATATAATGTTTATTTTATTTTGAGTGCAGTTAAAGGAGGATGTAATATAGTTGAAATTACAATACAAATACAAGCTTGAAAACCCATGACATGGTTCATGTAATTCAGATTTGCAGAACTAAGAAAGTACATTTTGAAAAAAATTCAGGCTGTAAAACTAAATATATTTTTATATTTTTTGTCATTCTTTTTACCAGCTAAAGAAGACATTTGATTCTTTGTCGCTTGCATGTTATTTGAAAGGACCTTGTCTGGTGTCTATAGCTAGCCTAAATCTGAAACATTGTATCAAAAAGGCTAACACAGCATATGGCAGTCCCTGAAACAGCTGCTTTAGTTCATTCAGAAATAAATTTAATCAACCAAAACATGAAGCATCTACTATAAGAGTGTACATGATTTTTTACAAAGTAGTTCCTAATACACTATTGGGCACACATGAGTCAATATGAAGTTGTGTGAGTGCAATATTGTAAAACATTGCAAGATTCTGACAATGTAAAATTAATGGAGGAAAAAATGAGCATATAATAAGGATACCTACAAAATTTTTATATAATGCCTAAATCTCTAAATGAGGCAGATTGTTAAAACTTTATTTATAGATTTTTTTTCTCAGATATGGTTTCAGGTATTTGGTTTGCAAACGATCTTGAGAATGTTGTTTTTATAAACCATTGTTTTAAGAAAAGTCTTTCTAAATGTGTCATGTGTGTGTGTGTTTTTGGATTTTTAACATATCTTTAACAAGTTTTCAGTCATATCACTTCAATATCTGCAGTGTGTCTGTTTATAGTAATATCTATCACCGGGACATTATTCTCCAAACATGTAGCACTCAGTCACATTATTCTGACACCATGCTGATCAGTCCTAACACTAACCTCTTAATGCTAAGTGCCAAGTGAGGCAGCTGTTAGTACCATTTTTATAAGTCTTTGGTATGACTCAGCTAGGGTTCAAACCCATGACCTCCTGCATCCGAGGCAGATGCTTTAACCACTGCATGACCAGAGCAGTCTAAATGTATGATGGAGAATTCACATGTGTACACAAATGAATCTTCCAAATGTATTAATTGTAGACAGTGTAAAACTATACATTGCAGAGAGATACTGAAAAATGGGTATGCCAAATTGTCAAAGATGATCATTTGCTAAATTAAGAGGTTTCAGTCATATACTTAATGCTGAAAAGGTTTGATAGTTAGGAGCTGACATTTTTCACAATGTCTAGATTATGGAGCAGTTATTCTTTGAGCTGAGTTTCACTTCCTTTTATTTATGCAGATCTAAAAGAAAAGTATCTTAATGTATATGAAAGAATAGAAAGTTTGATTTATGAAATTGATATATGACAGATAGAAAATTTTCTCATTAGCTATACACATGCATTTCAGACTGTGTTGAATAATTTTTTCCAGTTGCATTGTTCATGACAGTGCTGATGTATACACATTATGAGCTACACTGTAATGGCTTGAGGCCTATGTTGTGAAAGTAATATTATCAATCCATATTTCCATATGTCCAAATTCAAACAAATTAAGAATTCTAAAATTCAATAATTAGTTAGATTTACATTTATTAATGAGGTGATTCTAAATCTGATTGGCTGACCATGTTACCACTTAGGAAGACACATTTCTGATCTGATTTTATGAAACATGGAACATGGGCTTCTATCACCAAGCTGTTGGAGAAAGTCAATAATAAATGAGATACATGCACACTTAAAAGATAATCTTGCATGTGATTGGTTGAGCTTACTACACTCTGGATTGAGTATTCTTGATCTAGTTTTGATTAAACTAGAAATATATGCTCATTAAAATGTTGGACAGATTTGATAATGAGTGAGATACATACATATGAATAAGATGAGTGTACTTCTGATTGACTCATCTTGTTATCACTGGATACCATATTTTGGAATCATTTTGATCAATCTTTGAATATATTCGTATATTATTAAATTCTTGGAAATTCATTGATAAGCAAGATGCTCACATATTACTGAGATCTTGCATTTAAATGGCTGCCACTCTGAAGTGAAAATTGTGATATCATTTGGTTAAACTAGGAATCAAGGCTTATATCTATAATGTCTTGGAATAGTTAAATAATGGTCAAGCACCATGTATATCAATGAGGTGATCTTGTATCGGATTAATTAAGCTTATTATCAGTCAAGATCTATAGACTCTGTCTCAGTCAGTTTGGTAATTTATGTTTAGTTTATCATTAGCATCTTAAATGACTTTGATTATGAGTTAGAATTTCATGTCTCTTCATTTTTATCAGGATATATAACTATAAAGAAAAAAAAACAAGTTATAAAGTTTTAGAAATATGATATTACATTGGGATTTTTTACACATAAACCTGTCTCAATGAAATATTCAACAGTCAGGTTAGGTACAAAAGATGAAAGATATAGATTTGATTGGGCTTTTTTTTTTAAACATAACCTTGAAGTAGTTAGAATTTGATAAGCGTATATAACAGTATATGTACATGCAGTTTCTCTATGTCACATATAGGTGGCAGCCTAATTATTTAATTTTCCCATTGGAATCTTCATTTCTGGTAAGTTTTCATAATGAACACCTAGCTCTCCCTCCCCAAACCTTTGTTGGCCCAACTTTTTTCAAGAGGAAAGTGAGCACATGTCCAAAATTTAAAAAAAAAACAACCCTGGTACATCTCTGAGAATGATCTAAATACTAAACCAATAAATCCTATGCATACACAGACATGTGCTCATTTGCTTTACTTTCAATAAATTTGGCAAATATCCTGAATACATGAGAGAAAAAAAAACTATAAAAAATTTCCTGTGTGCATCAATGTATTTTCGGTATTATTGATGACAACAGAATTGCAAACAACATGCCTATGTTTGTATTTTAAGGAAAGTGTATACAACAATTAAAAAGATACATGCAATAAATCTGTGGTGGATCTATTTAAATAAAATCCTATTAAACTATCATTGAATATCCTTGAATGTCAGATCTTTATTTACTGACTTTTCCTTGTATTCAGGTTTTATTCAGTTGAAGTTTTATTAATGAAGTTTTATTAACCAGATTTAACACATGATTTATATTTTGCAGATTTCAATCAGAAATATTTGACATGAGCAAGGTGCCAAAAGGTCATCTACAGGCAGCCATGGCAACCTGTCACTCACTCACTATTATTGATGGTGTTCTAAGTGGAGATCCTCTTGAGCTGATTATGTTTGATGCTATTGGATGGGTATGTTATTCTTGTTCTTCTGGTTAAAATCTTATTGCTCATTCATAACATATATCTAGCAGTGCACAGTGGACATAGAAAGAAACAGTTTATGCTGTTCATTCTCTAATGATTCCCAGAAAAATAGCATAAACCCAGATCTTCTATGTACATAATGCTCTGACAGGTCAAGGTCTATACTGTTCATTCATCAAATGATTTAACTCTATGGCCTGACAGGTCAAGGTCTATACTGTTCATTATTCTAATGATTTAACTCTATTGCCTGACAGGTCAAGGTCTATACTGTTCATTCTTCTATTGATTTAACTCTATGTCCTGACAGGTCAAGGTCTATACTGTTCTTTTTTTAATGACTTAATTCTATGGCCTGACAGGTCAAGGTCTATACTGTTCATTCTTATATTGATTTAACTCTATAGCCTGACAGGTCAAGGTCTGTATTGTTCATTCTTCTAATGATTTAACTCTATGGTCTGACAGGTCAAGGTCTATACTGTTAATTCTTCTATTAACTCTATGACCTGACAGGTCAAGGTCTATACTGTTCATTTTTCTAATGATTTAACTCTATGGCCTGACAGGTCAAGGTCTATACTGTTCATTCTTCGAGTGATTTAACTCTATGGTAGTGTTGCCTCTTGCTTTTCAAAGAGAAAAAGACCCAGTGTAAAATTAATGGAGTAGTTGGAACTTTAAAGATGACCAGCCTATTATTTTTAATTTACTGTGAACTTGCTACATGTAAATTACAATACCACATATGTGGTCCTTTACAATGAATTCATTTCTGGCACTGTACTAGTGTAATAATATTGTGGTTCTTTATAATGAATTTATTTCAAGTACTGTACTAGTGTAATAATAATGTTTCAGTACAATGAATTCATTTTAAGTACAGTATGTACTAATGTAATAATATTATGTCTTATTCATATATATTATTTTCAGATGTTCAATTTAAGAATTTCTTGAGATTAAAATGTTAATTGCATAGTACCTATATATATAGGTACCTATATATAACTTCATCAAAGACATTTACTTTTAAGTTTCTGAGCATTTGTACCCCAAAATCAAAATCTAATATTTTATTTTGATTATTTGGAAGGAATGATTTTTAATTGTGATCATTGGTAGCATGATTATTCTTTTTCCATTTCTTTTGCATTTCTTACACTCAGTTGGCCAATTTATTACTTTCTGTATTGGTATAAGTTTTTTTGCACCATTGTTTTTATTATTGATTTAAAGTCAATTATTTTGTGTGATCTTTTTATACATATACTTGGATTTATACTGGACCATTAGTCATTGACCTTCATCCACTTGTTTATTGAGGATGAAGAAATAAAATATTCTATACTTATTTTCATGAAGAAATAAGATTTAGGCTGCACCATTTGCACATATAAATGGTTTTTTTTTTAATGCCTTTTATCTTATACTCAATCAGTAACTGTGTAAACAGAATCACATGCATGGCTGTCAGTGATGCAGAAAACTGTAAACAAAATCACAAGCATGGCTGTCAGTGATGCAGAAAACTGTAAACAAAATCACATGAATGGCTGTCAGTGATGCAGAAAACTGTAAACAAAATCACAAGCATGGCTGTCAGTGATGCAGAAAACTGTAAACAAAATCACATGCATGGCTGTCAGTGATGCAGAAAACTGTAAACAACATCACAAGCATGGCTGTCAGTGATGCAGAAAACTGTGTAAACAAAATTACCTGCATGACTGTCAGTGATGCAGAAAACTGTGTAAACAAAACCACAAGCATGGCTGTCAGTGATGCAGAAAACTGTAATCAAAATCACAAGCATGGTTGTCAGAGACAAGAAAACATCCTGTACATGCATGCTTTGCAAGAGCTGCACTTCATGTTTGACAGATAAGATCTTCAAGATATTGAAAAGTGTAGAAATTCTTTTCTTTAATTGAGTCAAGGGATATGAAGAAGAAAAAGGTGAAATGCATTATGTGCCAGGTTGATATAGTTGTGGGAATGCTGTCACTATGACATATCATCTCAGGGTTAAATATGTCATATGCCAAAATGTCTAAATTAATGTCTTGTGCATCAAACACACCTACATTTAAACAGATACCTATATTAACAGCTTACCAACCACATATAATTGCTTGTGATAAATTGATCAAATGTACTGAGAAGTTAGCTTCAATGTGCATCTTAGATTTCAGGCCATTAAGAATTGTTGATAAGATTGGTTTCAAAAGATTCTGCCATAAATTAAACCTGGTTTGTAAAGTACAGAGTTGCACCACGATATTAAAATACCTTCCTACGAATAAGTAAGACTCTGATACACATAGTCAAATCAATGTGGCATATTATTTATGACTGGTATATGGACAGGTCATGCCACTGATGGTTTCCTAATGCCGATTGTACACTATATATGAATTATTGTGCTTGTAATATGACATACTAGTATGAATATTTTTACAGATATCTGTATTATCTATTAAACTATAATACAGTTTTATTATAAATCATTTGAGTTTATGATAGTTATATTTTATTTCTATAATTCAGTGGCTGGCTAGTACTATTGTAATGTACATTTCTGTCAAATATGGCATGCCTATTTGAATGAAAATCATGACAGTTGTATTTTAGTTCAATAATTCAGTGGCTGGCTAGTACTAAATAATGTATATTTAGGTCAAATATGGCATGCCTAATTTGAATGAAAGTCATGACAGTTGTATTTTAGTTCTATAATTCA